CTGCGCTATTGTAAGCGTGCGCGTATTCTTTCTTACCCTGCGCTCCGGCCGCTTTTAATTAGGCGCGCGGGTCACGTGGAGAAGGCCACTCTCCACCGCAAAAATATTTGAGGGTAATGTCATGTACAAAAGAAAGTAACACATTTAATTCTATTACCATGTGGTTGTCCGTTACGTCCTAATTTTGGGGTCACTATTCATTGCCAGTAATATATGTAGTATAGATGGTAATGGGCCTTGGTTTTTTACCAGTCAGTGAGACATCGATGGTTTCATCTCTAAACATAGTAGTAAAACATTGCCGAGACATGTAGTAACATATTACTAAATGCTCTGTAGATAGGTTGTACTTTCGTTACTAGCAACCATCTGTGGACAGTCAATGCAAGTAATGTTGTTACTATTCCGTGCAGACTCAGTACAAGTTGGTTGGGCTACCATGAGGTAGGTAGTAATGACATTACTACATATTTTTACCTTTGTTACTATCGATTTAAGGAGGTATGCAGTAATGGCGTTACTAGATTTTTTTCTCTGTTACCAACGATTTTTTCTCTGTTACCAACGATTTACTGTTAGATTAGATAGTAATGACATTACTATATTTTCGCCCTTCGTTACTATCGATCTACCACATGGATGTAGTAATGGAATTACCATGTTACGATCAGTTTACCGCATCGACCAGGATGGTTGGCTTAGACTAGTTAGAGGAAGGGTCGGTTAGTGGTGCGCTTCACAGTGGTCGGAGCGTACGTTTACTTACAATGCGCTCAGGCTTAGTTTAGCGTGTCTATATATATATATATATATATATATATATATATATATATATATATATATATATTCATTTGTTTATTTTGTTGTGTTTGCAAGTGTGCATTCATTATGTCAAGTTGATAGCAAGTGTGTTTAGTTCAATACGAATAAGATCATCAACTCATAGTGTAATGCTTGTGTAACTTGTGTTATCTATCTATAGTCAATTCTCCTCAATTGGAACTTTGTTTCCACCAACAATTGATCTCTTTCCTACATCCATATTACCATTGGTCCTAATTACTTTTTGTTCTCCCGTTGTTGAGATGGAGTATCTCTATATGACCCAATGCATGACCATCTAACTCTGAGTATGTATATTAAATTTTAACGAGGACGCCACGGTCGAGTGGCCCGCTCGTGGCTCGTTTGGCCTTGTCACATGTCTGGTTGACAAATTGTCTGTCCAGTTCGAACTTTGAACGAGCCCCAAACAGGACCGGCAAAACGAGTTGACCACTGCCGCTGTTCATCGTTGTTGTGGCCACCGGCAACCCCTGGGTGAACTACCGTTTCTCCAAGCACACCGCCGTGTCGCCGACGTCCTCCCTGCTTGGTGATTTTTTTCAGAACGCCACCTACACGATGCATGCATCCTCCCTTTCCCAACCACAACCGCCGACTGTTGCCGACGTCCTCCCTGCTTGGTTAATTTTTTCAGAATGCCGCCTACACGACGCATGCATCCTCCCTTTCCCGACCACCGCCGCCGTCTGTCGCCATCAACTTTGTTGCAGTGGTTGCTTCCCCTGCGTCGCTGATGTTTAAAGAGTGCACGCGGTGACCATATGGACACTTCCCCTCTCCTTCCTCTCCTCCATGTGCCATGTATCATATTGCCATCATGTACGCCTCCCCTGTCTGTAGTTGTTGTGTGTCCGGTGCTGCCAATCATGACCGTGGCATCAACCTCGATCACCGCATGCAGGCTAGCAAGGTCCTTCCCTCTGTCTTGTGCCTCCCTGTCTAGCTACCGCCACTCGTCACACAAGGTAATTAAAGGTAGACACAACACATGAAGGGCATGTGCACACGGCGCACACTTGTGAACACACATGAATGGCGCACGCATGTGGGGCACACAGACATAGGGAACACACACAACTCTTCTGGTGTCCTTGCCTAATTAGGTTACTAGGTCTTCTTTGCTTAATGCATGGTTGAGGCTCTAGACCTTTTGGCTTTGTTAGGGTTTGTGCCCGGCTCAGGAAGGCAAGACGGCGGCGGCTCCCTGAAGATGGAATAAAGGTCTGGTCGCCTAGCCCCCGTTCCGGTGATGCGTCTAGCATCATCGATGGGCATGTGGAGGTTTGTGTCCTACGGATCTATCTTTGGTGGATTTGCTCGGATCTGTTGGTAGTTTGTCTTCGTTTGTGTGTATTCAAGTTGGATCCTTTTGAATTATATTCTTTATCTGCAGAGGTTGATGTTCTGGTGCGTTGTTTCTATGGGGCCTTAGCACGATAACTTCCTGACTGGCTACTACAACAATGGCGCGCCTTCGGCTCGCTTCAGTGCTTGTAGTCGTCGCTAGGTGATCAACGGATCTTGATGTAATTTTTATTATTTCTAGTGTTCGTTGTACTACCATGATTGAAGATGAATAGTTTGGAAGTTTTTCCCGCAAAAAAAGGCTACTCTAAGGGACACACCGCTTGGAAGATAAACAAATAGTGCTAGGTCCTTCTGCCTTCAGTGCCAATGCTTTTCCAAACTCAAGAAAGTACACTTAGAGCATATCCAAAAAATGATGTATTTTACATAACCAAATTGTGGTTTTACTAAAATATACATCACATACAGCGCATTTTTATGTCACCAAAAACCTCCAACTCCAATAGATGTTGTCAAAATAGCCACATAGTACCTGCTCCACAATTTTGTTATCTCCGGCGTCGCCAGAGACAAAGCTAGAGCACACCAAACAGGAGCTGCCGGCGACACCGGCGAAGGAGCAGCAGCAGCCGCCACGGCCGCCTTCATCTTCTTCGTTTGGGATAAAGCTATAGCGGGGTCGCGCGGTGGCCGCTTCGAGCCGCCACCGCATGGTTTGGTTGCTGCTGCCTTCTTTTTCGCTGACTGCTCCAGTCCTATGCCGGCAGCGGGATGAGGGGCTACAAATTCAAGATGTAATATGGTGGAGTCATCATGGTGGCCGCATTGGCGGGACCGGCGACATACATGGTGGCCGGCGGCGGCGGGCGACGGCACGGGATAGTCAAGCGTGAAGCGGGAAAGTTCCGCATGGCAGATAAGTGGTGCGTGCGACTGCTCAGATTTTACTCGAGATTAATTGAGAGGCACAAGAGATGCAAATTTGCATCACCAAGTACCCTATTT